ATCCCGGTACCGAAAGACACGGCACCGAAGTTAAAGTGGACGGAAGCCGCGAAGGTGGAGGGGGGAGTACCCTGGCCCGCGGCGGTGCTACAGAAAGCTGAGAGGTTCATGACCTCCTGGCACGAGAAGGAAGGAGAGGCCAGCCGACAACGGNAACGTGGACAGAAGCCGCGAAGGTAGAGGGGGAAGTACCCTGGCATGCGGCGGTGCTGCAGGGAGCTGAGAGGTTCATGACCTCCTGGCACGAGAAGGAAGGAGAGGCCAGCCGACAACGGGCGCTCAAACGAAACCACAAGCCACCAACCAATGGGGCGGGAGGGGGGCAGGAGACGGACGAGACGGCGAGGGAAAAAAGCAAACAAGAAGAGACGGACCGAGTGGCGCGATACGTGCCGGATTGAATTTCTTTTAGCCAATTCCCCCCCCCCCAACGCTGCACCATTGCATGAACCCCCCACTAGTGATGACGTACCGTACAATGTATCGCGCTGGTTGGTGGCCATGTTTGCGTGTGTTTGCTTGTCGTTAGTGGTCTCTCCACCGTGTGCCTTTTTCTGTCTCATATTTCTTGTTATTTTCGGCCAGGTCCATTTTTGTCCTCGCTCTTTCTATTTCATTTTCTCTTTCCTTTACTGTTTCCTTATATTTTCTTCTCTTTTTTTCTCTTGTTCTCTTTTTCTCTCTTTTTCTGTGCCAGATGGCCTTCTCTCTGCTTGCGTTGTGAAGTACCAAGATTGAACCAAGGGGGTGTACCTCATTCTCTCCGGCCCGTGATGATGACCCCTAGTCTCAGTTGTTACCTCGCATAGCGTGCAGAGGGAGTGGAGGAGTCCAGAATACCTGGCGTTGATTTCTATTGACTTGCGGACCCCTCGGGGCCATTTTATTTGAGTGTACCTTTTAAGGGTAAGTTAGTTTCAAGGAGTGATGCCGTGGGCGGTGGGTTGCTCCTAGAGATAGATTAAGGTCCTGTCGTTGACACGCTTGTCCATGACCACGTTGAGATGGGAAAGTTGCTTGTTATTGCTGAGAGACGATCAGCAAAGGTCTGGGATGAAGTGGGGATCCAACTTCATCTCAGGGGGTACACAGAGTAGACAATTCTAACGGGGTAGGCGTCAGAAGGGTATACCTCCTGACCGACCCGCATCCTATCAAGAATAAGACTGCCACACTCCTTAACATTAGCCTGCGACCACGGGAATCGACCGCGTCGAGTGTTGTATCAGTACGGACATACGAAGGTACTGGGTAGAGCGAGATCGGATCGGTTTTTAATGTGAAGACAACAACAACAACAACAACAACAACAACAACAATTTCACCCCGGTGCGTCCGAAAAGGGGCAGGGTATACCCTGCCGTGACCATTTTTCTCAAAAACTATACCCTGTTCTCGGAAATGTACCCTGACCTGTCGGGAAATCAGACCCTTTCATCAATCATTTCCCCCGCAGGAATCTTCCCAACTCCTTTTCCCTTCCAACCATGGGATACCAAACGGTGAATCTTCCCGCCCAATAACAACCATGGCAACGGNCCCCGGTGCGTCCGAAAAGGGGCAGGGTATACCCTGCCGTGACCATTTTTCTCAAAAACTATACCCTGTTCTCGGAAATGTACCCTGACCTGTCGGGAAATCAGACCCTTTCATCAATCATTTCCCCCGCAGGAATCTTCCCAACTCCTTTTCCCTTCCAACCATGGGATACCAAACGGTGAATCTTCCCGCCCAATAACAACCATGGCAACGGGGCAGGAATCAGTTT